TTAAGATCTGTTTGCTCTAGGATAGCCTGGTGCATGCCGTAAACCTTATGCTCAAATCACACAGCAATTTGTCTTCCATTCGAAAGGCACTGATCTGATAAGCTTTGAAGGGATCACCGCCACAGACATTTATTTGCTCGGAAAGCACCGTCTTATTATTGGTTGCATAAGACCGCCGAAGCCCCGAAGACCGCCAATCATGCCACTGTTCGTGCCCACTGTTCGGGTTATTTTTAGGACTCCTATTGTTACACCGCTCACGGGCTAAATGAAAGGAGAGCTCCCATGAAACAACGTTCACCCAGCCACCTCAGCATTAGCTGCATTCCAAGTTCTCTGACTCGGGAGAGAGATGCTGTGCGCCTGCAGAAGAGCATGTGGGACGTATACGCCGCCCATCATGTCAATCGTGACACCGAAGCACATGGTGCAAACTTTCCTCATTGAGTAAATGTCCCCAAATCGGTCGTTTGCGAGTATTTGGCTACCAGGTGGGTTGCCAGCTCCCGGGTCATAACCACTGATAACGCGCACACAGTGCAACGAACGTGAGAACTGTGGCAAGGTCCTACAAACATGACTGGCCACGGGTCCTAATTTAGCGCAGAATGTGCTGTTTGTTAAAATTTGCCCCTTTCGGTTTGATTTCGCATTTCTTTCTTCCCCTCCATAACTCATTCGCCCCCATCCTCTTAACCCACATACTTCCCCTGTCCTGTCAGGCCCCATACACCTCACACCTTTTATCCTACTACGCGTCTTGGTTCTCGACGCAAACGCAACTAAACTTTGCAACCCATCGCTACAGCACACTACTCGATTTGCACTCATGCCGTTCAGAGAAAATATACCCGAAAAGAAGAAAGTAAAGCGTCCAGCTAATAATTGGATGCTTTTTAGAAAGGCCTTCATCAGTCATTTCCGAGCACAAATCAAAGGCACGCCGGAAGAGCGCAAACATCCAGGAACCAAGCTATCAAGATTCGCTTCAAACGCCTGGGATAAAGGCGGAGAAGAACTCAAAAGCTTTTGGGCTCAAAAAGCAGAAGAAGAGAAACGTGCACACGAAAAAGCGAATCCTGGTTATAAGTATCAGCCAATGAAGAAGGCGGATAAGGAGAGAGCGAAGCTGGAGGAGCAGTTGTTGAAGAACAAGTTGAAGGAAGAGCAGAAGCGAGCAACGAACGGTAAAAGGGGCAAGGGGAAAAGCCCGCTATCCTTGAGAGGTGCCGAGGGGTATCAGAGATGCAGCAGCGATGAGGTGATCGACAATTTCGGTGCTGTTGAGCATCCAGGGCCTGTCCGCCACAACGCCAGAACGTCTCCATATCCTTACTATCGCAGCCCGACCAAATACGGGGATACGAGTCCTCCGCTTCCACCTCCACTTCTTTTTCCTCGTCTGCCAGCTCCAGCAGCTTTCCTACACTTCCGAGTTATTTCGTACAGTGGAATAGCCGTAATGTCTACAGGTACCCGAACTCGTCTTGCAGTTCAACTTCGAGTTCGACTTCTTCATATTCTACATTTGATAGCCCCTCTCCCGCAAGTTCATGGACCTCCGCTTCACTCCCAAGCTCACCCGCAAGCCCCGTGTCGAAAGAGCTCGAGTTCGTAGTTGTCGAGGGTGGCACTGCGCCACCGACTTCGGACTCTTACCGTCTCCGCGCGCAGATGGGTGGGCCAGCGCCTGGCGAGACAGTAAACAGCAGTCCCATACGCATTATTGACGAGACTGTTAACTTTGACTTCGCTCAGGATACCCAATCACTTACTCCTCTGGCAGCGGAAGGTGTTCAATACATTTCCAAGTTCGTAGTTCAGCCAGCGAGCCCCAACCAAATCGCTTCCGTAGGTCTTTTCTCTCTAACTTGGTTCATCTCCATCTAACGTTGATTACTCCATGGAATTCAGAGACCTCAGCTATCGGAAGCTAGCCTCCTTCAACACGAGTCCAATCTCGTACAGTCGACATCTCAACTTGCAAGCGACAACGAAGTCGAAGTTCCAGTACCACTGTCCCCACCGAACCTCTCAATCTCTATCCATGAGGATTACTCCTCCGAACAATTCAATTCTTCCACCTATGCTTTCTCTGCTCCATCTCCGACCAACATTGGCGACACTACTGAAATTCAAGCACCGCACTTCTACCCATCGAACCTCGATGTTCACCAGGATTGGGATCCAGAAGCCGACTTGAACCTGCTCCCTGATGGAGACCCCTTCTTTCAGGAAGACGTACCCATGTATAATTTGTTTGAATTCAGCACGCCCGTCTCCCAATTTCCGAGCTCCGAAGACATAGTACTACCAGACGCAAAAGTCGTCGATTGGCTCACAGCTATTATGCCATACTGAAGATCGCTCCTCCCTGCCCGGAGGAACTTCGGCCGCAGATCCTGTGGCTTTCCTGGTACACTTTTTTGTCCAGGGTCACCGAAAAGAGGGCTTACGCATGCCGTAAGCCCAAAGTCGTCTTATTTCCTTTATCTCTTATCTGATTTAATAGTTCGTCTCATCTCTCCTCGCCCTGTTCTCTTGTGTACAAGTCCTGTAATCGTTACCCTCTCGTCTCCTCGCTATCTGCATCTGAATATTGTATGTACATTTGTCCTGGTTTTCTTGCTTAGTTCCTCCTATTGTAGTCTGTGTTGTCTGGATTCTGTATATTGTCTCACTGGCGTCCTTGTATTTTAGAATAGTTCGATGGATACCCGGCTTTGCAATCGGAAACAACGGACTCTCTTGAGCAGGCAAGCAATGGTTGGTCGAGAATCTCATGATCGATAAAGGTTGCACAGGAATAACTGTCACGACGCGTCAATCCTCTGTATTGATCATGATGAGATTCCAGGGATATCGTATTAACAGTTAACCGACGTGGGTCTATAAAAAATTTGGTATCCAAGAAACGGGCATAGATCCGACAACCGACCGAGACGTTCTCCTTCTGGCAACGACACTTTCACTCGACCGAGGGAGCTTCTTTCTCACCTTTCTCAACCTCACGTTTCGTTGTTTTCACAAAGCCGCTCCTACGCCCCAGTAATAATCCAGGATGAGCAAAGTTGATAGTGAATATCGCAAGAGTAACCATTGCTCCATCAAGGACGTCTAGCGGGCATCATCAAAATGTGGCAAGACGATAAATTAACCAAACGCACTGAACAAAACCTGGGTGCCAATTATTCGTCCCTCCCATCCATCGGTGAGTTCGATCGTCCGGTACACAGACCTTTTAGTTTACTTGATAAGTTGAACCTTCTTAAAGGGAGCACATGCTGAGCTCACCGAATGAAGAGACAGGTAGTACTGAAAAGAAGCGCAACGCTCATCAGCGTGATCTTTCCTGACATTAACCCTTCCTGCCCAAGAGCGCGCTCCTGTTGCTCCGCAGGGTGGTCTTCAGTTTTTATCCTACGGACAGGCCATTTCTTCGTATATCGCACGTAGAATTCGATCGCACATAACGCGTAGATCACAATGACAGCTGTAACGGGAACGGAACATGAGTCTAGGCATCATGAATGTCAAAGAGCATCACCTACCGAGTTGGAATGAGATACCGCCCAACATGATATGGCCACCCTAGTGCAAGGAAAATTCATGAGCATGGTAATTGAGAATTAAGGAATGAATTTCCTACAGGATTAGGATCCTGACCAGCAGAGAAGGCCGTTGCCGCCCTTCCTCCTCCAACGGCCTGCACTATCAGAGATATCACATCCTAAATTTCAAGAAGGTAGCTGAGGTTAACATGGAAATCTACCACGAGTGAGCCTTTCACTCACAGAAGTACAAAATAGAATGGTATCTGCAAAGAGTTAAACGACGGAATTTTGGTAAAATAACGAATAAACTCACATCCTCTTGGGGTTAATCGACTGTATTGCGGACCCAGACGCTGAATAAGAATGCCCAGAATCACAAAATTTGCGGCTAGAAGAGGCGTTGGTCCAATGATCGTACAGGTAATCCTTGCAACAAGAGGAAGGTATGAGCCTCTGGCGGAAGTTCAGCCTCACATTCTTCTTACTGCATTTCAAAGGGCGATGGATTGGGAGGATTAAGACTCGACCATAACCTGGCCGCCCAACCCAGTATCTCGAGAACACCGCTAAGGCATACAGTCGGAATGAGCCACCATGTTTGAAAATATATTGCTTGGCCTAAGTGTATGACTGGACAAACCGAATGAGGTGTTTAGATCTGAGATGTTACGTTTATAACGCACGAGTAGAAAGCCCATAGAGTACGATATATGTTATAGCGACGCCTTCACTTGGAATATAGTTGTATGGAGAGTCAAGACTCGAATGGGCGTGGTGGGCCTTCACAGCCAAGCCTGAGTGCTGCTAATTAGCGAATAGTCAGCTTCGATTAAAAAGAAGAAAAGGACGTACTGATGTCGTTTAGAGAAACCATTCTAGCTTGACGTTAAAGGGAAGGATATAGACCTTGGTGGGTGTATAACCCAGCTCCCGAAAGACGGGAAGTTGGAACAACAAAAAGGCTGGTTAAGAGAGAGCAGGATGTAGCGTGTGCAGGTGCTATGCACCGAGGGTATGCAACTGTGATCATCCGCAACACAGTGGAAAAGATTAAGAATAGCTGCTTATCGGCAAGAAAAATGTTCCCGAAGAGGTTAGAAAAGGAATGAAATCTGCCGTGGTGCCTGATTATTCCGCAGCGATCACTTTCATCAGCCCTCCCGGAGGTTAACGTCAGAATTTTGCCGAGCATCCCGAGATCCGGGTCAAATCTGGGTGGGTATCCGGAGACTTTGGTTAATCATTAATGACACATCCTCGAAGTAAAATGTAATAAATTTGCGAACACCTGATGAGGCCAATAGGTTTCGCAACTGGAATGCATTACAGTATCTTCAGGCATTGCCGCATGGGCAGTATTTATTTCAATTAAGAAGATTTTTATTAAGACTTCTATTACACAAATACAAAAAAATTAAGTCTTACTGTAAAAAGACTGCGCGCTTTCTCTCTGTCTGGGAGTCGAACCCAGCTTTCGCGCGTCCGGCAAAGAGCAATGACAGGCGCGTGTACTAACCGATATACTAACAGAGATTATGTAAAGTGCAGTTGAGTGTGGAAGATATAGTTGAGTGCGAAAGACGAAAATTGAAAACTGTACCGACCAGCTCGATCGGTTTGAATTCGCAGCGGCAAAGGTGATATCTTCAGATCACCAATCAACAGTCAGAGAGCACTTAGCAAAACGATGTCGCCAAGTCTGATCGACAAAAACCAAAAAGTCCCAGTAAATGATTGGCCGCGATCAACGTGTATTGCGTGTTGCATTACCCATCTCCTCAACAGAATGGAGAGTATTAGCATCAACTTAAACAGAAGTATAAGAAAATACATGACGACATTGATCTCAACGTCTGTTTCGACTGGCGCCAGCACCAGGAGCACTCGGTCCTCCAACAGCCCCTCGGCGCATTTCTTCTTCATTGAGCCCCGCTTCTGCCAGGATTTTCTCGACTTCTTCAAGGATGGGTTTATAAGACGCTAGAGAGGGCAAACAGGAAACGTCACGCTCCATCTCGCTCAAGAACACGGGTAAGGGTTCAACGTACCATACCGCTCTTCCGCCAGAGCAAACCCATCTCTGCGCAGCTGTTTCCCCTTGTTCTCACTATTTTCGAGAGCTTTTTGAGCCCAGTATTCACCTAACACTCGATATTAGTACTATAAAAAGGGGTAGTGAATAGCTTAATCCAATCTCACGAGAGCGGGCATAAAACATGGCCAAAGTTTCTCCTGGAAGCGGCGTGCTCTGAACATCTTCGGCTGAGCGTGTGGCATCTTTAGAAACACCCATGAACGCGGTAGCTTTCGAGCGGATGTCAGTCTGCGAATAAAAGCGCATGCAAACGTCAGAACACTTTCGATGCGAAATTTTCATTCGCTAACCACTTACTTCATCTTTATCTTCTTCAGCTTCTGCAGATGTTTCCAATGGAATGCTTGCGATATCTGCTTCAAGGACATCATCTTCGTCGTTGGCATTTTTCTTTTTCTGCCTCTTGGAAGACTTCAAATCCTCGTCGCCGATATCGCGCTCCTTCAGCTTCAGCTCTAGATCCTTAGCAACCGCCTCATCGGCATCAACCAGAGTCTCTTCGTCCCCATCCTCATCATATTTCTCCTCGTCAGTATCGTCCTCATCCTCATCGCTGTCATCCTCGTCACCATCTTCATCACTACTGCTCTCAACGTCACCCTCTGGTATAACGACATCAGTCTTCTTCAAACAGATGTATTTGTCCATTTTGTCCAGTTGTAGGGAGTAGAAGTCGTCAAGTGTGTACTCCCGAGAGCCACGTTCGTAGATTCCACCATATCTGAAATGTACTTGTTGAAGAATAAGGAGAGACACAGAATGTGATGGTTGACGTACATGTACAGTGTATTACGTAATACGGCGAGCATTGTGTTGTACCTTGGTAAAGGAGTGGACAAAAGAGGGTCGTCCAGGTCGACAGTATCGTCAATAGGAGCGGTGGGAGTGCTCGACGCCTTGGGCTTCCTACTGGTATCATTTTCTATTGCATATTTGCCCTATAATTGGAAAGTTCTGTGATATGTTCATAAACGTAATGGCAAACGAGTAAACGCACATTATTCTCAGTTTCGCCCTCATCATCATCACTTCCTTGCTCATCCTCTTCATATCTCTCTTTCTCTTTGTGCTGCTGCTGCTTCTTCTTGGGACCTTTCTTTTGCCCTCCCTTCACTTTCGGTTTCTTCAGCGTCATGCTCATCCATTTGCCTTTGCCCGTCAGTTGATATCCGTACCTGTCATCCAAAAAGACATCAGACTTTCGCCGAATGTCTAATCAAAGAAAGAAATTCTTACAAATCGTTCCAGAACACACTCTCCAGCACTTCCTCGCTCGTGTCCTCATCTGTGACACCACCAAACAGTACTCCGACCCCTCTTGCAGCCCAAAGTGTCATTGTACACCCGCTGCGGAGACAAGGGGCATATGCATCCGAGGGCCGCTTCCGCTTTTCCCATTTGAATATTATCGATGGCTGCTGCATCTTTGACGACGAGGCCTTGGACTTCCCTGATACAGGAGGTGCTTTGGATGAAGGCGTTGCTGGAGTTTGAGGAGTGGCTTCCGAGGGCAAAGTAATCCTGCAAGTCGGTGTTTAGTTCAGCCCGTAGCAGAGCAAGAAAATCACAAACTTAAGTACCCAGGTATCGTCCAGCATGACACCAACTGGACGCTTGCCCTTCTGGTATTCTTTGCAATAGCCACCTAATAACGAATTGACATGTTGTAAAACATGCTAAGGGAAAGGGATACCATGCAGAATGATCCCATCAGAACATGGAAGAAAAGAAAATCCGCTGCGGGGCCTATGCGAAGTTCGAACGCAAATGAAGGTAAATACGAGAACAAGACGTACGAAGGTTTTGCATCTGTTTCTTTCATCTCAACTTTCGCCCAGCTATATTCATGGGTGTCGAAAACCCATAAATCATTCAAATAACGTGCTTTGAAGATATTAGATAAGGCATCCTGATATTTGACTACCAAAAACCTCACTAGTGATGCCTGGGTCGTAGAAACCGCCAAACAAGACGATTAGGTGCTTCCAAATGGCCATACTGAAAGAAAAAGGATAAGAGGCAATATTGGAAGGAATAAATGGAGATGTACCTACCGATGGCCAGAACGGGGAGTGGGACGGACTTTGGTGTCAATACGGTCCCAAGAATGTGTTGCTATATCAAAGCACCAGAAATCCGCATAATGGTGAAAGCTGTTCTGGTGCAGAGAAGAAAACTCGCCACCTGCGGCACGTTAGCGGATATTTGAACGGGAACAGTTTGGGTATTCACCAAAGAGGAAGAGTTTCCCGCCGCCAGCAGGTGAAGCAACGAGCGCATGGGCAGACCTTGGGCCAGGACATGTCGGAGAGACAAACTTTCTCCATTCATCTTTCTCTGGAGTATATCTAAACACGTCATTGTAGAAGTACTGGAAAGCGATCAGCTTGCTACTGATCTGGTGAGATGATAAAGGGCTCACGGCTTTGTTGTCCTCGCTGAAAAATTCCCCTCCAATGCACCAGAGATGATTGCCATTTGGGCATGCAGTCAAGGTAGCGTTTGCTCTACGACTCGGAGGTCCTTCTACGAGTTCCTCCGTGACTGTATGTGCGACCTCCCATTCTTTTCGCATCTACTGAGCGCGCGAAGAAATTAGCACCACATCGGCCTTTTATATTAGAGGGACTCCACTCACTCTTTCCAAGATCCCTTCCAAGTCATCATCGTCGGTATCTGAATCGTTGGCTTTCTTTGCTTTGGCCTTTCCTTTCGTCTTGGTGGAGCTGGCATTAGTCGTGTCCTTGGATTTCACTGCTTTTTTCGTCTCCTTCCTCTCGACTTTTTGCGCTGCTTTAGCCTTCTTTACTGCTTTAGCTGTTGCATTGCCTCCCTTCTTCCCCATGACACCAGACGAAACGCCTCAAATCCGTTATGTTTGGGACAAGTGGTAGTTGGGAACGAGAAAAATAACACCAATCACGCGCTTCAGTAGCGGCACGACATCCCACTCACCACGGAAGTCAATGGTGACAACCTCTCTTGCCATCATCGACTTCCTCCATTGTGCGCAACCTCAATACCCCGAGTAGAACACAAAGCAAGGTATGCATCCGATCAGTTGCGAGATTGAGCTTAGGATGTTGACTAGGTGTCAAAATAGAAGATTTCTGATTACCAACTATTTCTATTTGTCGAAGAAAAGGCATGGCCTCTGAAAATGGGGGAGCTCGTCTGCCTTTAGAGCTCCTGGAAGAGATTATCGACATTCTCGCTTTTGATCTGTTTGACCCCGAATGTCGCGCCACCCTTTTTGAATGCACACTCGTCTGCAAGACCTTCTACAGTCGCGCATCAGGGCACCTTATTTCGGACATACATATAGGTCGTATTTCCAAGACTTCTCAAACCATAGATGACCATGTCAAGCTATGCAAAGAGTTAGAAGGTCTGCACAACGTTCTGGAGATGCACCCAGACCTGGCACCCCGTGTCAAGGCCTTGACGATTGAAACATGCTTTGGCGGCGTAGCTCCAGCGAAGAACAGAGAACTTCTACTAGAGAACCGGCATATACCTCTTATCTTCCCGAAACTGTTTTCCATCGTTAAATTTGCATGGATGAATCGCGCTATGGTTTTTCCTTGGTCCTCATTCAGCACTTCTGTTTTAGAGGCATTTGACATTCTCATGACACACCTTCCCTATCCATTTTAACCTTTGAGGGTATTGAAGACCTTCCAGCGGACTACATAACTCGATGTTCAGGCCTAAAACAACTGGAGCTTACACATGTGGACTACGTAGAGGTGGTTCATGAACCCTCCTCTCCTCCCACTGACGTTCATGCTCAACGTGAAGAAATAGAATCGCAACGTGCATTGCAGCTCATGATCAACCGCCATGCCCTGGCCTTGTTCTTCACATTCTCTCTGGTTCCACTTCGGCGTCCATGTTCTCAAGACTACGTTCTCTAACTATGTGGATGAGAAATGCCGACGAGGTTCGTGCCGCATGGGGAGTAATGCAGTCTGCCGCTGAAACGCTTGAATTGCTAGTCATAGAAGACATGTCCCATTTCGGATGTAAGTTTTCCCTTATCATCCAGGGCTTCTGCCGCTGATTCATGAAATATCCAGATCCGACATTGATCCCGGGTTCAATAGACCTGGGTATCTCCGAAAGCTGAAAAACATAACGATTGGCTGCAGGATCGCCTCCGGAGACGGAATAATAGTGCCAATGGGGATCAGCGGTATCCTCAGCCCACCAACGTCACCTTCGGCCATCCAAGGGATTGAAATCACAATCGACTGGATCGACTGCAGGATCGGTTCAGAAGAAAGTCGGCTCACGGCCACTGCAGAGCCCGCATGGGATATCCTGGACCAGACACTCTCTCGGCTCTCAACCTTTCCTGACTTATGTCGCGTTTCGTTAAATCTCAAACTTGGATATGGCTGGTCTACTTCACCAGGTTTACCAAATCCTCCAGATC